GTTGGGTGTTATTCTTCTCAACATGGACAGTCGTCACGGCATACGTCGGCCGGCAAATCAGCGCCGCAGAGCGCGTTAGCTGGCCTCGGATGGGCACATTAAATACCTCGCTGGACGTCGGTACGCTGGCGGCGTCAATCGTGATGGCGCCCGACATGACCACAACCCGTCCGTCGTCCATGTTCTGCGAGTTCCCGCACGCACCAGCCTGAAACGCCGTGAAGAAGGTCGGCAGCGTGAACCCGACAAGGGCCATGTTCGGGATCTCCTGCGTCATGGAGCAGTTGGAAGTCGACACCATGACGTTCAGCTGCGTATCCGACGCCTGGATGTACTGAATACCAGTGAGATTCAGCTGCGCCGGCTCGCACAGGATATCCGACTCAAACCCGTCCACGTCAGCCCTCAACTCGGCCGTCGACTTGAAGTCCGACGTAAACGACTGGAACGCAAACTCCCTCGACGTGCCGTCCGGGAAGTTCAGCCCCTTGGTCTGCAACCCCACCATCGTGAAGAACGGCAACGCTCCAGCCGCCCGCAAGTTGCTCGGATCATTAGTGAACGCGTTCAGCACATTCAAACTCGCTCCTCGCGCCGTGACGATCTGAAACGTCGGGCTGACGAGCGCCACAGCAATAACAATAATCAACTTCAGCGTCAAGCCGACAGACGCAGCCGCTGCTACAAGCCAGTCCCGGTTCCTCGCAGCCTTCGCAACCGCCCACGGCTCGAACATGAAGACGTAGTCCAGCATCAGCGTCCGGTTGACGCTCGCGGGGCCCTTGGACATCCGGATCCACGGGGCGTTGGCTTTGGCCTGGTGCTCCGGCCGCGCCCACAGCGCCGTGATACATGTGAAGATGAAGGCGGAGCCGTACTGCCACAGGTACCTGAACCCGTGGTCTGGGGAGCCGAGGCCACCCCTCTTGTTGGACAGGTCCAGCACCGCCTCTACTGTGATCATCAACCCCGCGAACAAAATCGCAAACGAGCTCAGTATCCTCCGTTGCAGGTAGAACGGGCGGTATGGTAGAGAGACGTCCATCAGTCCATCCCGTTTCCTCAAATCATCCGAGTCGCCCATCGGCGGCGGTATTCTTATCATCGGCTGCAGCATCTGTCGGATCGGTTGCGACGGTTGTAATGACGGGTTTAGCGGGGGGAAGGTCTGCAGCGGCTGGCCCTGCGGGATCGGTCGCATCGCGGGCACAGCTAACCTCGCAGCGGGCGGGAACTGCGACTGGCGGGGCGTCAGGCTGTACCGCGGCCCCGGCGTGGGCGGTTTACTCGGGCTCGTAATCATAATCTCGGGCACCGCCGTTGTCGCCCTGCTGGCGTCCCCATCGCTACTCGAAAATTCATACTCGCTGCCGGAAGAAGACGAGTGGTCCAACGTCGAGGGACGGGGCGTGCTGAACGACCGCGAGTGGCTCGTGTACGGCCTCGCGATGACATCGTCGCCTCTCGTGATGGTCGACTCGGCGACGTAGCGGTGATACGAATCCATTCCGTTGGTGCTCTGCTTGGGTCCTTTGCGGGGCACGTTAGCCCTGGCCCTCGCGTCTGAGTCCATGTATCAGCAGAAAACAGGCTATCTTCCGTTCTGCTTCGCGAGTGAAGTGGTGGTTGGTCTTGCGATCGACGGGCAAGCCGGTCGGGCGGAGGGTGGAGGCGTGGTGGCCTGCCGTCACCGGATGTTCATCGTCGCCCTAGGCCTCTAGGATGGCGTGGTATTACTATGCCCAGGGCCAGGTGTGCGTGTTGTATGAGCTTGATGATGTGATGCTCGGGTGCGGCCGTGTGTGGTATAGTGTTTTGTTTCCACAGAGCCGCCCTTAGTGGCAATCAATAAGGATCGATGTCGGGGTGTTTGTCGATCGTTCGATTAGACTTATCAACAAAGCGTGCTTGTTGCGAGTATATTGAGGCGAAAACACAAAAGAAGCGGAGAATGGGGGAGCAGGGCCACTAGTCGAAAGGGCCGGCTCGGTGGCAACAAGTGGCCGTACGCAGATCTGCTATCCCTCCTTGAAAAGCACACAAGCCGAACGTCTCGCTGTACTGCCGAACGACTTTCGCATGAACCTGACGTTTGGGAAGAGCGGGAAGCGACCTGGATGTGTGTGTCTACGTGTTGCGTGTATGATTAACCAGTCCTTCTTACTGGATCCAGTCCAGGGGAAACGAATAAGAGAAGTTTAAGAACAAGGGGGACGGAGGCAATAAGAGCCGCCCAGTAAGAAGCGAACAAAAGAGGACCGACCAGGCACCCGTTCAGGAAGTCTTTCAGGAACGAGAGGAGGGGAAGGCCTTGTTTCCCACCCGCGGGACGATCACTGGTTCGGGCATAATATAAGAGAGGGAAGGGGGTGGTGGGAAGGTGGGAAAATAACCAGGCCAGGAACGGGGCTAAAGAAGGGCAAAAGAACAGCAATCCGAAAAGAGGACGAGCGCAAGCGGGGAAGGGGCGACCGCGGAGACAGTGAGCGCTGCCAGATCTGCGTTGACGAGCTGTCTGCTGCTTGTCTCCTGTCACCTCGGCGTTCCTTGTGCCTGTCTGAGCTGTCTCTGTCTTTCAGCCGCTGGTTGCCCGCTGTCTGTCGTCGGCTGTCTGTGTTGTCGTGTCTTGTGTTTCCGTCTGTCGGGACTCTTCATCCCAATACGAAGGGGGCACCTGGGAGGAGGGGCGAAGGACTCAACACCAGCGTGAGAGAGTGCAATGCGTGAACAGGGCCCAACGCTAGGTAGAACGGGCGCTGCTTGTGCCTGCCTGTGCCTTGCCTGTGCCTGCAAGACAAGCAGGCCGCCAAGCACAGCTTAAGCCTTATGGGAGGCACGGGTAGCAAGGCGTCTCTAATGTTCGCTGAAAGCAAAGCCCGGACGAGTTTCAGAAGCAGGTCGGTCGGGGCGACCGTGGATATGAGGCTGGCGCGATGTGACCTGCGGTAACGGTGGTGTTTGGGCGGTGGTTGGATGTACCACAGCGTGGTGAGTTTCTCTCTTTTCGTCTCTTCGGGCGTGCTTTGCGGCGCTGGGAGCTGCGTTGAAGTGGGATTAAAGGTTGCGAGGCACCACAGGCGGGCGCCCCATTGGTTCGTTGGCTAGCTGCTTGGGGCACGGTGAAACTGCCGCGTGTGGCGGCTGTGTGACAGAATGTCACAGACCCCGGTTTCGAAAGATGCGGCTGTTGTTCGTTCTGTTCCCCCCTTTTTTTCGGTCTGAAGTTTGGTTTGGAGCAGTGGGTAGCAGCAGCCGGAGAGGTACTATACCACGAGCACATAACTCCGTTGCTGGTGGAAACATACGTGACCCGGCACAGAGGAACGTGGGGAGATCTGCAGCTAGCAGGGAACGGGTGATGAGCGTAAAAGGACCACTGGATCAGCCATTGAAGATGCTGAAAAGACAACAACACACTGTCGCGTTCCAAAAGACTTTCGCTGAGAAATCCCCCATGCTCCAGTAACAGACCAGAACCCAGGGGCTTTGCGCGTAGGAAGTTTTGACTGAATTGAGCGACAGTTCCCCCTCGGCGAGTCTGGGGTGTCCCGAAAGGAACAGGTGAAACGGGAGAAACTTTACCACCTGCCCTCCGTGTTGTCTGCTCCACAGTTTATCCGAGAAGCTCCACCACGGGACGGGGCGGTCAGTGCGGCCTTCGCCCGGAAACCTCCGGCTCTCCGGCACGCGGTGCGCTCTCTCTCGCGGTCTTCTCGCCGGCGGATGAAGTCAGGCCCCTACCAGACAACATGAGGCCCCTTAACAGCCCTCCGATGTTTGGTTTATCGACTTCCCGCCCTCATAAGGTTTTCTCGCCCACAAGGCTGGCGTGACATGACCGACCGAGCCGACCGAAGGACCCGGGTTCCGTCTGCCGTCTACCGTCTGCCGTGGCCACCGAGGGGCCCCATCTCGGCGTCTTTTCCGGAGGCCAGCCACTGAATGACCCCTTACCTTGCGATGCGCGGCAAATACACATGCAAGCCGAACGACTCTTAAGAACCTCGCCTCCCGCCCGGTGAGAGTTCGGTCGGGCTTGAACGGCAAGCAGCGGGCGACGGTCGGGCCAGCTCAACCGAACCCAGCCAATCTCCATCACCCGTCGACTCATCATTCCAGCAATGACCTCCTACTCGTGCGCTGAAAGATGAGCGCGCTGAGCTGACTCGTTCGTCATCAGGTCGCGTGCCTCCATACAGCCTGACCTGTCTGCGCCATGACCGCGTCATCGAGGTCATCGGTCATTGATGTTATCCGCACGATCAGAGGCGAAAATGTTGAGATATCCAATAGGACGTGAACTGCGATGTTTCCGGCATGCGGACATCGGATTGATAAAAGACCTGACGAGAGGTGGCTAATAATACAGTCAAAATGAACTCACAATGACCCACGTCCATCGAGTCCGACCCCAAAGTGTCGTCTGTGTTTTGTGACGCAGTCCCTTTCCTTCCCCTCGTCTCAAGAAACCGGACCCCGCCTGTATTGTACAGAATGAGATGCAGGCACATCCCAAAGGGATCCCAAAGGGAAAAAGCAAATAAATTCAATCGCCTGGGTATATGATGCGAATGCCCTTCTTTCCCTCTTCTCGTTTCGAACAAGGGCGATCGTGACCATCGTGCCATCGTAACATCGCTCCATGGTTGCCCGCAAAACGCCAAATGCCTCTGCTTCGCTAGTCGTGCATGGTAGTAGGTGGTACATCGTAGTGTTTGGGAAATGCGAAAAGGCGGCCTCCGTTCGTCAGCCAGCACCGCCGCTCGGAAAAGTCTGGAGCAGTCCCCAAACCCCTCGATTCCCCCAGGTCGCTGTCGAGGTGGATATGAATCCCTGACTCGCTGGGTTTCTGGCGACCCACGCCTACGATCCTGGGGTCCCTCGTGGGCCGTCGTTTCAATTCGGTTAACCCTTCCGCATCGTTTCTCATCACCGACGTGAGAGATCGAGAATATGTGTTCTTGCATCATCCGAAATCGCGATGATTTCTCCCGCGTTCATCAGATTCCGTACTTGTTCGGGCTCCAACTGCGGGCGTCGATGATATTTTTTGATTCGGCCTTGACGAGGAACCCCGCATCGCAATACGACATGTCTGGGCGGGCAATCTCAGGCGGGTAATGCTAGATATTTTGTCAGTAATTTCGCCCTCGATCCCGGCCCGATGTCCACGTACCAGGCGCATACAACACGCGTCCGTCCATCCCGTCGCGCATGTGCCCAGATCTTGTCCAAACTTGGTCTTGTATTTTCCTCCGTTCGCCGGTTCGCACTTCGTTCCAACTCTCAGCTTGTTGTCAATTGTGCCTTTACAGCAGTGCGGCTGCAGCGTGATGAAGGGGCTCGCGAGCTGGTCGGTGGGCGGGTATGGGTAGCAGTGGAACGGCTGGCTCTGCGCGAGGATGACGGGCAAGCCGAACATGAGAAACAAGGCGACGATTGCAGCCGAGAAGCCCAAAGGGCGGTGCATCTTGGGTGGAATCAGCGATTGCACGCGGACGACGATGGCGGAGGTGGCGACTGCGGCGAAGAAGCGGGAAATGTGGTGGTGAGCCTTTTGCAGGACCTCGCGGATTGGTCTTGGCAGATGTTGGACAAGCAGCTGTACAAAAGTGGCCGTGATGGCGAGAATTGGAGGCGGCGAAGATGACAGAGGCGGCATTGCTGAGCTACTTAACGGAAACGGTATTATTTGATCCCCTGGTCAAATCCTGTGTTGCTATTATTGGCCGGATGGGGTCGGGATGCTGCCGTGGCCCTTCTCGACAACGACACGCACCACACAGAGAGGTACTCCGGAATGCGGGTCGTGAATCAGTTTAGGGCGCCGTTGCTGTTCGGGGTGGAACGGCAGAGCTGTTTTGCAAGGCAGATGCCAGACGGAGTGCTGGTGCTGGGCCCTCGCGGCGGATTAGACAGGCTAGCGCTTGGCTTGGCCTTGGGACTTGAGTGTACCGCACAATATCAAGACTGCGGCCTGATGCGACGTGACAATCGGCGACGGGGTGCTCTGTGTTGCGTAGCAGTACGGGCGGCGGGCAGCGGTGCGCGATGGCACTTGGACTAGGCGCTGGTCTCTGCGGTCGAGGGCGAAGCAGAGGGGGTCAGGATCGCGCCGATGAGGGAGGGGTGCGTCGCAGCGTTCTGAGCTTAAAGTGTGGCCCTACCGGGGGTATCGCGGTTGGAGGAGAACGTCGGGTGTTCGAACTGGATTATGTGCGTGGGAGGATTGCGTGGAGTCGCAGCGGCGATGGAGGGAAGATGGCTGTCTCGAAGCTCTGGACTGGAATTGTGCCGGCGAGTTTCGCGTGAGGGAATGCAGAGGCCGCGCGGGCTGGCAACCAAAGGAACGGTACTGAGACTGGATGGACGGCGAGAGGGTGGTGTGGTGTGCTGATGTCGAGGACAAGGGAGGCTGGCCGTCGGATGGGCTGGTGATTGGGGAACGCGCAATACGATAGCGACGGACGAGGTGAGAGTTGGGATGGACGAGAGAGAGAGAGAGTTGAGTAGAGTTTCTAGGGAGGTGGACGGACAGAGCAACACGATCACAGAAGAAAAGGAAGAAAGGCACGTCAGACGGAAGGAACGAGAGGCATTGCTTAGTATTAGTGGCACCCGACTACCAAGACACATTTTGCCAGTTAAGCAGACAGGCAAGAGCTACCTTATGTGGCTAACGTGCAGGCCAAGGCAGGCGAGGCCAGGCTAGGCTAGGCTCCTGCCTGCGAAAAACAAATCAGACCCGTTGAGAAGCAACGATGATCATGGTGCGGGCTGGGCTGGAGAAAAAAGGAAGGTCCGTCGTAATAACAGTAATTGGAAGGCGCAAGGAAGGCACAAGGAGGGCACGAGATTGGGCAGTCGCGGAAGGCACACTCAGAAAGAGCGAGACAGGGAAGGCAGGGAGGAGCAGAGGAGACGTCGTTGAGGGGCAGGAGCAGGGGCCACGCCGGGCCGTCCAGGCTGGGCAAGAGATGAATTGCAAAGAAAAAAATCATGGGGAAGGCCAATGGAAGGGGCCGAATCGAGTCGCACAAAGGCGGGAATGAAGAAAGACGGGAAGAGGCTGCCTGCAGTTGCAGGGCCGTCGCCATTGGAACGGACACGGTCACCGTGTCCCCTGCTATCGTAGTCAGCATCATACAGGCCCAATTGGAGCCCATGCAGTTAGAAACACCACAGCTTGGATCGCGACACAGGAGGAAAGACGAAGACTCCAACAAATTCAACAGATAGCCCCCAGCCAGGCAACACAGCGAAGGACATGTCCTCCGCGCAGTCGGGCGTGTTCCCCCGCCCTACGCAGGCCCGCCCAGGCCTGTCATTACCCACGCGAAATCCTCCGTACTCCGTATCCAGCTCAAACTGGGCTGAGGATTCGCCCGCCCTGCGGCGCAGCGACCAGCATCAGCACCATGTCGCAGCGGCGCTAAACCTGAGGTGAGCGGTCCTTCCTCCACTGCTGTTTGAAGTATTTTTTTTTCACTTCATTTTTCGTATATTGCAGCACAAAGTTTCTCAAATGAACGACACCAAATTTCCGCTGCCTCCAACGTTCGTCAACGCGTTGCATGACTAAGTAACCCGCAGTTCGTTCATTCAATAAAGTCTGAACAAAACTCCCACACAGCAATACCTCAGATGACAGCCCGCATCTCGCGCACGCAACGACGCAAGCAGCACTCGCAGAGGCCGGGCAAAATGAGAAGAACACCTTCTTCTCCTCCGCTTCCCTGTAACAAGCCAGGGTGTCCACGGCCGCCCCCGTCATGCCATGCAAGGGCACCCAGTCCACGGTCAGCTCAACCCCGCTTTTCTGCGTGTCTTCATTCGTGGCCCTCCCACCAGAAAGCCAAAACGCCTCACCCATGCTCACTGCCCTATCCGCCCAAGCCACGAATCAGAATGCGCCCGCCTCACAACCATTCACTGTCCTTTTCTTCTCTCGCCCAAACTGCAACCCACCCGGAACCCGGGCACGGACCCGCCCGAAGTCCCGGCTCCGTGAATAAGGTTATCCGGCCGGCCACTTTGGTCCTCAAACTGCCGGGGTCGCCGGGCCTCTGCTTCACCTGCTCTTCCGCTGCTACAGTGCCACCGACCTGCCAGCCCACCACCAAAAAACCTTCCATCCGAAAAGACCCCTAACTTTCTCGGATCCTCAGTCCCATTTCCGCCAAGAACACCAATTTCTTCGCCTCACCTCCCGTCTGAAATCCTGCGCGTGTGTGTGGTGTGCTGGGCTGGGCTGATTAGCAAATCTGCCTCTGCAAAGTGTATCGTCCTCGTTCACCTATGTGTCTGAGTTTGACAGGCCAGCGAACCGGGGCATGGCGTGCATCGCGACAGTCAGGAGATCCCAGTCGTCTGAGGTGCTGGTGAACACCCCTTCCTGCCGCGAGTTCCGGATGGCGCTCGCTCGCATTTTGATGGGTTAATTGGGGACACCCATTAATGCGACTCTGCTATTGAACTCTGTCCAGCATCACATTTTTCTGATCGACAACTGACAAGAGTCATGTTGATTGCTGTAATCTGTCAAAAAATGCAAGTCGGCCTCTTTTTTTGCACCTTTCTGTCACAGATGGATTGTCGTATTTTAAACGGTTGTCTAACTGAGCGAGAGTCTAAATGACGCGATGTACGGACTCTTCCTGACACATGGCGTCGACTCAACACCTGTCCCGACAACTTGGATGACCTAGGCAGCGTAGCGTCTTGAGACCCTTTTTTCCAGCTGCCATTACCACGGAGAACTCGGCAGATCCGAAGTCCTATCTCATTCCCGAGATAAGCGTAGCCTAGCATCGATTCATCTCATAACAGTCCCAAATAATTCCCCGGCCTCCCGCCCCTAACCCTCCAGACGAACCCAGCCCGCGCCCATGACTCCTGCTACTACTACTACTACACCAGCCAGCCAGCCAAACCCACCACGGCCTGCGACGCTCTCACCCTCCGAGGTCTTGCTCCTGACACACGTCTTCCCGTAGTCGCAGACCTCGCCCTCCTTGCAGCATATCCCGCCGCCGCAACACCGTTCCCCGGTCCCGCACCCGCCCTTGCCGCAGCACTCCCCCGCGACGCAGACCGAGCCGCAGAGCCGCTTGCCGTCGGGGCAGCACCGGCCGAAGAGCGCGTCGACGCAGTGGGAGCCCGCGATGCAGCAGCCTGCACCGCAGCATTGTGAGGTCGAGGTGCAGCAGTTCCAGTTGTGTGGGAGGTGACAAATCACTGTGATCTGTTAGACGCGTTCGTGGTGTGTGGGAAATGCGCTTACCTGTGTCCTTTGGGCAAGTGTCCTCTAGATTATCACGCCGGGTAACAGCTGAGCCCGCATTTTGGAAAGGTATGGTCGTTGAGGTGGCCGTCAGGCTTAGCGACGTAAGTGCAGCTAATGTGTGATCTGCGCACAGTAGCCACAACCACATGCTCCACGTCAAAGATGATACCAAGTTGCGAAAGAGCCTCATGTTGGTGCCGTGTGTGTGATGTTCACCTCCATAATCAGTTTCACTGCACATCTCAAATATAACGAAATCGGCCCGCGATGATTCACTCAATCCCATGACTTGCGCTAAAAAAGAACAAAAGCAATCATTCACTACCACTAATCGTGGAGTTTGCTTGGTATTTTCCCGCCGTCTATGCAACTCCGAATGCTCCCACGTCACCTAATCACTGTCCCTGATCCTGTTTTTGTCCGTGATCCCCAATCAGTTCTTGTTGGCATCCTCCTTCAGCGACACAATACGGTTAAGGACGATCTTGTCATCAGTGCTGTCAGAGTCGACGGCCTAGAGTTGGTTAGCTTGGAAAAATGGTTCTACTGCAAGGATGATACTCACAAAGTAGGCAATACGGGTGGCCTGGAAACGAACACTCTCGGGTCCACCCTTGCCGAGCTCGCTCTCGCCAGCAGCCTCAGGCCAGGGCGCGCGGCGCTTGACCTCGTCAAAGCCGCTCTCAATGATGGCGTCGGGGTAGATGACCTCGCTATCAGGGTTGATATCGTTGAGGAAACCGCCCTCGGCGTCGTCGGGCTTCTCGCTCTTGAACAAGGAGTTGTGGATACGGGCCTCGACCTTCTTGGAACCCTCGGTGCCGACCCAGTTGATGAAGGCCTTGGGCTTCTTGGTTTCCGTGTCGAACACAGCACGAATCTCGGTGACCTTGCCGGTGGTCTCGTCCTTGGTGTAGGATGTAGCCTTGATGGGGCAGGGGGCGTTGAGAAGACCGACAGTCTTATTGGGCGCAAGACGGAAGTAGTCCTTGCTGTCGACCTCTCGGAAATCGGCGCGGTCAATATAGACGGTAGGCGTGAACTTGACGGTGTGGGAACCCATCTTGGGGTCCTTGGGAGAGAAAGGCAGTTCGACTTCTTGAGTCTCAGCGCCCTCAATGATAACCGGGATGGGGTCAAGGACCATCATCAATCTGGGAACAGTGCGCTCGAGGTACTTGCGGACAGTCTGCTCGAAGCGCTTAATCTGGATGACGGAGACAGAGGTGGTGACGCCCAGCTCGTTGACGAAGTCGAGAATGGCGCCAGGAGGAACACCTCTCCTCTTGATACCAATCAATGTGTACAGGCGAGGGTCATCCCAGCCACGAACGATCTTCTCCTCCACCAGCTTCAGGATCTTTCTCTTGGAGAGGACGGTGCCGGTGATACCCAGACGGCCGTACTCGCGCTGCATGGGCTCGTAGACGCCAAGAGTCTTGTTCAGCCACTCGTAAGATACACGGCTCTGGACGAACTCTGTTGTGCACAGGGAGTGGGTGATGCCCTCGAAGCTATCGCACAAGCAGTGCGTGAAGTCGTATGTGGGGTAGATCTTCCAGTCCCAGCCGGTTCGGTGGTGAGGTGTGTCGGTCTTGATGCGGTACGCCGCGAGATCCCACATCTGGGGGTTACCGTCGGTGATGTCCTGCTTCATGCGAAGGAAGGCTTCCCTGGGCTTGTACTTTCCGTCCTTCATGTCTCTGAACTTCTGAAGGTTCTCCTCGATGGAGTGGTTCGCATGTTCGCATCGGAATCTGGGGGTGGCTCCCTTCTCTCCACCGCGCTGGAGCTTGATCTCGGCGTCTGGAACCTTGACTTAGCCTCGCATGATTAGCAGGTTGATGCGTCCGCACTTACCACCACAGTAGCACACGTAGGCCTTCTCCAGGGTAATCAGCTTCTCGGCGAGGTCGTACAGCTTCTGGAAGTTGTCGCTCGAGTAGGTAATCTTGTAGGGAGCGAATCCCAGCCACCTGACCATCTCCTCTATCGCAGTGAAGTATCTCTCCTCCTCCTTCTCGGGGTTCGTGTCGTCGTATCGCAGGTAGCAGACACCGCCGTGGTACTTGGCGAAGCCGAAGTTGACGGCAATGGCCTTGGCGTGACCGATATGGAGACAAGGAGGTTGTTAGTGGCGCGACAACACTCCAGACAGATCACGACACTTACTATCCATTGGGTTCGGGAGGAAATCGGGTGACAACGTTCTCAGATGGCCTCTCCTTGTAGACCTCCTCGAGGAAGCCCTGCTTGAACATGGCCTGGGCGTCGAGGACAACCTCCTCAGCCTTAGGCTTGGGGGCGGCCTTGGGCTTGCTCTCAGCAGCACCGCCGGCGGCCTCCTTCGCAGCCTTTGCCTTCTCGGTGGCAGCCTTCTTCGCGCGCTTGGCCAATCTCTTCTTCAGCTCGCCCTTGCTGACCATCTCACCCGTCTCCTCATCGAGCTGGAGCTTGGCCGTGGACTCAGCCAGCTTGGCGGTGGGATCCGCAGGGGTGTCCGCCATGGTGTCGGTATTCAATCGGGGAGCGGGACAATCGGAAGGTAGTTCTTGTCCTGTGCGTATCGCTTGGGCTGGCTCAAAAGGTTCAATTGGGTTCGATGGCAGCTCAAGAGGTGGAAAATGTGTGGTTGTGGTGGCGGGGCAGCACTTCTTTTACAGCGGGGATGACTCAACTGGATCCGGACAGTGAGGGGCGAGGGGTCATCCGCTGCGACCTCCTTGCGACACGCGACAAAGGCGCGATAAGATAAGCATTCGATGCTGATAAGATAACACAGCGACGCTAAGATAAGGCAGGCAGGAAGCAAACAGCCACCCGCAAAGGTGCTCGACATTTACAGCGCAAGGCACCTGAGGCTCAACGGCGATGCCGCCCTCGAAGCTTCCAATATTGAGCCTGATGACCCAAACAGAAACGAAAAATCACTCAAAGGTGAGGTAATTTTTCGAGCATTTTAAGAGCGTGAAAACCAACGAGATTGTGCCTATGAATTGTTCCATCATTCTTCCAGAAGACCTGACTGCCTGCCCCCTGCTTCGTCCGAACAGCGCTCCTTCCAGAACAAACCGATAAGCCCGATAAGCCAAGCTTAAGCTCAGCGCGGGGCTTTTTCCCGTCTTCTTTCGTCATGGGCTCCCACCTTTCCTGCTTCCGGTCGCCTGCTCCTTTGTCACCAACAACCCAACAGCCTCCCCCTCCCGCGCCGAAACCCTCCAAATCGGCCACGAAACCGACTCAAACTAAGCCCGCGAAATCGCCTATGCCAATCCGTCAAGCCGTCAAAATGGCCACCACCGCCGTCGCCGATATCCCCACCGTTGAGCTCCTCTACAAGCTTGGCAAGCTCTCCGCCCCCGCGAAGCCCCTCCACGCCCCCAACCTGTCGCACAACCAAAAGGTCGCCGTTATCCGCGGCGACATCACGAAGCTCGGTGTCGACGCCATCGTCAACGCCGCCAATAAGAGTCTGCTCGGAGGAGGTGGTGTCGACGGCGCCATTCACCGCGCCGCCGGTCGCGGTCTTCTGCAGGAGTGCCGCACCCTCAACGGCTGCCAGACCGGCTCGTCCAAGATCACCGGCGCCTATGACTTGCCTTGCAAGAAGGTCATCCATACCGTCGGCCCCGTCTACGATGAGCTCGCACCTGAGACCTCCGAGGAGCAGCTGAAGGGCTGCTACCAGTCCAGCCTGGAGCTCGCTGTCCAGAACGGCTGCCGCAGCATCGCTTTCAGCGCTATCAGCACTGGCGTCTACGGATACCCTAGCCGCGAGGCTGCGCCCGTCGCCGCTGGTGTCGTGAGGAAGTTTCTCGACGGAGAGAACGGCAAGAAGCTGGACAAAATCGTATTCTGCACCTTCGAGATGAAGGATGTCAATGCTTACAACGAGACCCTGCCGTATGTCACCCTGTTTGAATAGTTTCGCGATAGCTACTAATAGTCTGCGCAGTCTCTTCTTCCCTCCCACGGACAAAACGACAACCCACGACCAGGTCTCCGATGGTCCCTCCAAGCAGGAGACAGAGGAGGCAAAGGCGATCGCGGCTGAGCTTCCTACCGTCCCGAAGACCGAACCCTCTTCATAATAACTTTAACCTTTCTTCGGGAGATGAGCGGTTGCTGGCCATCAGGGTATCACCAGGATGATGTCCTTGGGTCTCGGAATTTGTGGAGTCACGGTGGGAAAAAGCAAGCCGGATAGCATAGCTTTCTTAATACAAACATGTCATCTTCAACCAACGCCCTTATGCTGTTAGGGCAAATTTTCATCGGGACGAGATCTCATTGCTTCGTTGTTGCTTGTCCAAGTCATCTACTTCTGCCAGTGGAGCCCTACTATTCCCGTCCACGTCGCTATCCCCGTCCCCCTATCAACCCTTTGAGACGATCCCTAGATCCAGAAGAAAACATCCAACAGAACTTATTGGCTGACATCTTCAAAAATATGTGTTGAATCTTTGACCCACACATCATGCCTTATTCGCCGGCTTCATTGTCAGCCAACCCCAAAGCTGACCGAAGCCCGTAATTGCCCTCTGCGACAGACGTTCAGAAGGGAACAAGTCCCTCAGCTCATCCACCTCGGCCCTCTCGAATCTTTGACAAGCCCGCAACCGATATATTACATCAAAATCCTTCTCCTCTGACAAGTCGTCTGGCCTTTCTTCAACGCTGTATTTGTTCGCGAGCTCCGATGTTAGGTATCTAGGAGCTCCGTACTCAACAAACATCTTGCAAGCTTGAATCGCGTTCTTTGGAGGGAGCCATTCGGGTTCGCTCCTCGAAAGATTGTATACAAACTCGGTCCAAATATATTCAAAGTCGTCTATTGACTTTGAATGGGTCGACTGGAGTAAGTTTAGAATGTCGGCCAGCAAATCTATGTCAATACGACCGGAATGCGTGACCTCGGGGCATTCGGCGACATGGACCTCCACACAACCCCGCAGAATCCCCGCCAAAATATATACGTAATCCACGTCCTTTGATACGCCTGACAGGGAGCCACCGAACTTCAACAAGAAGCGCGCTTGGGCGTGCCCCAGCAGCTCATATGAATTCGGATTATGCGAGAAAAAGTACTCGCTGCGCATTTCACACAGACCATGCCACAGGCGGAGGTGAAATGGAACGTTGTCAGTTTCTAGCTCTTGCAAGAAGTGGCAAATCCTCAGAAAGGACTCGTTCGACATATCTGTTGCGTAGTGTAAGTCCAACATATTGCGCAGTTCTTCTATGTCTCTTAAACATGCCATTGGAAACAAGCAGTGGTGACCAGTGAGTATTTTGAGCCTGAAGTGTCGCAGCGAAGGGGACTGAAGAAGAAACTCGAACACAGTCCTGTGAACAAAGCCTACTCGGTTTTCGTTCTGCTCACTACTCCACGTCTGGACCAAGTCTCGGCACATGGCAAGGAGCCTATCCCTCTCGTACTGGTCATCGGATGGGCGGTAGAAATGATATTTAGTTCTTCCTTCGAGATTTCTTCGTTGTTCCCTCTTGCTTGCAATAATCCTGGGCTCCAAGAACTTGGTTTCAGCTGGCTTGGGTATCTCCGACTCCCTGATTTCACCTAGATGCCGAAAAATTCGCACGGGCAAGGATGTTTTCCCTGAGAGTAAAATCGTAAATACTAAGAAGGAGTCCTCGATATATACCTCCTCAATCGAATCAAGCATCCGTTGGAAAAATGGTTGAAGATCTGATGGAAATTCTGCAAGTCGCTTGTGAAGAACATTAATGTCATCGCGGTTCTGTAGCCCTCGAAGTAGTGATTTGACTACGAGAGACACCCAGAAAAATACACCCTCTGCTCTGTCGGCGATTGTGAGAACCAGAGTTTGTAATTCATGTCTTTGGGTCTGTTGTACGTCTCTCAGCACTGCATCTTCTGACAAGTTGTCCTCTGCATATCGAAGTATGTCATTTTTCGTTAATTTGTGTATTTCCAAAGTCCAACGGCTTTTCCCGAAGGCGTTTAGAAAATCAGGCCAAGGTCTGCTTGCGCAGCATACTTTGATGTTTGGGGAGTTTGCGATTGCGCCCAAAAACTTCGTAAGTTCCCTCGGCTCTCCGCTGTACTCGTCAAGACCGTCGACAAATAGCAAAATTCTGCTTGGGAGTTCCTGGATGTGCTGGATTCTTTCAAACGTCTCTGAGAGCTCTTCGATGCTCCAGGACTCGAGAGATCTGAAGGGGTTTGAGTACCTCTCGGCGCAAACTGCCGGAATGATTTCTGGGCATTGAACCATGATCTGGAACAACAGCGTCCGGAGCAGACCCTCCTGTGACTTTTGAATTTTGTTTCCGACACTCCAGAAGAAATGGCTGACGAGAATGAGAGGCTTTGATCCGGCCCATCTCTCAGCCAGCGTTTTAGTCGTCTCATGATCCAGAATGAGCTTCATCAGGGTAGACTTCCCAGATCCAGGTTTTCCCGTCACCCAGAAGACGCCTTGGCCTGAATATTGAAACCATGACGTAAAATTGACAGATGAGGATTCGTCGAATATCCATTCAAACGTGTTACGATGCGCCCGTGGAATCTCATTTTGTCTCTCTTTGATTTGCGCAAAGTGAAGACTTTTGAGGATACTCCTTATGTTGCCGCGATGATTTGTCTCATCCACGAACCTGGACAGCTGTTTTGCAAAGCTCTCGAGGTCTTCTGTTGACTGTTCCACTACTTGCGCGTTGACAAGCCTTTCCAGGTCTCGGGCAATAGCATCTAGCCTTTTCTCGGTGGCGTTGTTCCAAGCGGCCGATGCTTCGCCCAGTGAGCGCATGGCTTCTGACAGCGACTTGCGATGATCACTATCACAATCGTTAGTGGGATTGACTCACAGGACTCTTGAAGAAGTAGTTTCGATGGACTCACTAAAGCAAAGGCTCCAACCTCTCGAAGATTTCCTTCTTGATGTCTTCCACTCTGGCTGCAAGGTCTTCTATCTTGCTCTTTCTCCAGTACGCCTTGATCGATTTTACGAACTTCCGTAAGCTTCGATTGCGGGCAGAAGTGCTCATCTTGAGCCCTTCAAGCTCGGAATGTAGCTCATTTGCGACTTTTATGCATCGCTTTAAGAGGCCCATGGTGATCGGGTCAGCTTTCGCCGCAGTGTCATCTTGAAGCAGAGTACACCGGTCTTTGAGGCTGGAGGTCATGGCAACCAGATCGGCATTGCGCTCCGCCAACCCATCGAGATCGGTGCTTCGGTAGGTCTCGATCACGGCCTTGGTGATGTTGAAGCCGAGCTCGACGAACTGGACGATGTTGGACGCGACGCCGAGCGCCGCGAGCGATTCAGCCATGGCGATGTGTTCACATCTGAGGTTGGGAGATTGCTAACTTGTCCCAGCCTGATCTGATATGATCGAGGTAAGCTGAAGGTGGCGGAGCTTTATGCAGGCTGGGCGATATGGCGGTAAGCGGCGCAGAGCGATTGGTTGTTGAGAGGTGCTTTCTCTGAAAACACAGGGGGGGGTTCATTCGTTCAAATTCAGCCAGGGTGGAAGTAAACAACACTGAGCAAAACCGCCCAAAAGAGTTCCATACAATTTGGCCATCATATTCTATCACGTCTGGGAGAATGTAGGTGCAAGCTCAAATACACCACGCAGCATGTCAGTCTGTGCAAATATTTCGTCTTTTCTTTTGCATATGTATTTGTGAACTCCTATTTGCATGTTTTCAAATTTAAGCGCCTATTCATTTCTAGCTCTGCTCTCCCGGTCTACTCCGATAACGTCAGTGAAATTGAGATAAATTAAGATTCCAACAAAGTCAGATTGGATTGGATGGCAATTTCAGAAACATCACATATGGCGGAAGGCTATGGATGAAGACTAACTTAGATATACCAATCCGGACGACGTGCACAATATACATGTACCTGGTGTACACATGTTCAGCAACGACGGAATGAAATGACCAGTGGGGATGACAAAAGACAGTGAGGCCACAGCGATACAATAGAGACAGCGAGAACTATAGAGACAACATAGACAACAGAAACGACAGACGAAAGATTAATTCAACAGACCAAATAATTATATGCCACAGGACTGAAGTATAAATGCTGGCAGGTGAAGAATACGATACGCCTAAAGGCAGGTCGTTGATGATCATGGAAATGTGTAGACAATGCGGGGTGATACAGCTTGAGCATCTATGATCAGAAACAGTAGATTTAAAGTCATTCAGTGGTAGTAAATGTGCATTGAGTGGACTGATTCTAAGTCAATGGAAACGATGCTAGCAAGGGTATGAAGTGGCTAGGCCCCAATCCCTTAGAATGTCGCATCACAGGATAAGCACTAAAATCCATGTTAACCAGCGCCTCAATCCCGCAGATCTAAGCTGTCAGCCACGATTTGTAATTGGCTTTCGCCCACTCTGTCTGCCTAAGAGTTTCAAGACAAGCCCTGGATAGACATTAGAAGGAATGCAGCGTCGCTTCGAGCATATCGCTACGAGGCGGGTTATCGTCATGATTTGAGACAGGAACGACATCGATAAGACGGCATCCTAAAGCGCTCTAATCGCCCACCAGGGCTGAGCCGTCTGGGCTCCAAAAATCCCCTTTCCACCCTGGCCACCCTACGAGATTCTTTTCTTTGTATCGGTTCCCAACTTTGGCCGTACATGACAATGGCCACCTCCGAGGGAGAAACACAAGACAGATTGCCAAACGGCGAATACGACTCAGACCCCATTGCTATCCGTCCAACTCCTGGGCGGCGGACACCATCCCCGGAACCTCCAAGTTCCATGTCTCTTTTGGATACATTTGTGGATACATCGAGAACACAGACCCCAAACGTCGAGTCGAAAGAGTCGGACTCAATCGAAAATCCGCACCAACCAGTAATTCAGTCGCGATCACTAGTGCCTGCCTACCTGGTAGCAGGGTATGCAGCTCTGTCCATTTTTGCTTGGGTCACGACATGCGTGATGACTTACCGACCGCTATGGCCCTTGAAGTTCACAAAACAGTATGTGATGGACTATCAAAGCGAGAGCTATGGAGGAAACATCAACTTGATCCGCCAAACGATCGAGAAAAACAGGGATTGGTATCAACGCATTAGGGTCTTGCAGTCAGTCATCGCGGTTTTGACCCTCCCTCTTACGACATCGGTCATGTCAGCTGCAGCCGTCATCTACGTCCAACGTAGTTCGCACGATCTGAGCTTGCGTCAATTAATTGCACTGGCGGACAAGAGCTGGACGGATGCAATAGCTGTAGCAACGACTCCAGGGGGACGGCACAAGTCGCCTTTTCTCGTTATGGCTATTGCAGTGTACATCCTTGGTGGTCTGCTCTCCCCGTTGCAAGAATCCTTCTTGTCGGTCCTGTCGAAGAAGGTCACTTACTCCCCTGGGGGTACGAGCTACCTGGCCGATATTCCCGAGCAATTTATGTACACAGGTCGAGGATATCGCGAAGATAATTCAGTTGTTCTCATCACACGTGGCTTGTTGGAAACAACTAGTTCTTCTCAGCCACAAGCGCAATTGTGGCAAGGCAGCGGCTACGCATGTTCTGACTCTGAAGAGGTCGATGGTAAGCGCATATCAGAGGCATGCCGCTTCGGAACGACCCTTGAAGATATTGCAAAGCTAGAAGCCCCTTTTCTGGCCCAACTACCAGCTGGTTATTCGACCGGACTTATCCGTCAGTTCATCCCCCGCATCAACTCCACAACAGATGTGGCGTTGATGACTGCAGAAGACTTCCCGAGGTCTTGTGAGACAATGCCTGGATCTTTCTGGGCAAGTTACTTCACTGAAGGTGGCGGTACGAGCTATCCTGGATATCCACCGGTTTCGATCCAAATATGCATGCCGGGCAATCTCACCACCACTCCGTGGAAGCGGACAAGGGATCGGCAGACCTTTACAGAGAACCTGTATGTCAACATTAGCTTTGAGCAAAAAGAACCGAAGATTTCATACTGGAAGATCAGTATGAGTACCACAGCGGGATACTTTCAGCTACCAAACGAATGGAATCAAACAGCTGGCGAATTGCTTGACAAAGACCCATTCGGTCCGGAAGGTGCATGCCACAGAGGCTGTGAAAAGCAAGTATCAGTATACAACGACTTCATGTTGAAAGATAAAGATGGCGGAGATGATAGCATGTAAGTCTGAGCCTTGTCATAGGGTTGGTTGGTTTACTTATGCTTCAAAACCAGCCCATTATACCATGACGAACGCATCCTTCTTGGGATAGATCCGTGGGAACCCAATGTGCTAGAAAGGGTCCCCAACAAAGGACCCCTGCTTACGGTTGTACTCGCGCTCTTCGGCCGAAAGTCCTTCTTGGACACTAGGTTGTCCAACTCTTCAACCTTTGTGAACCTAAACGTCACATCAAACACCACGGCTTCTTCCACTTGCATCTATCTCAATCCCCTCGGACTCTTACTTGAAGACGAGGGATACAAATCACAAGAAATATTATGCACCACAAGCGCAGATATCAGCAAGGAGCCCAGATTGAAATACAACATGTCAAAATGGTTCTCTAGCTTTTTCTATTTCCAGGATGACGCCAAAAATGTTAGAGGGACGATCAAAAACATCTTCACTCGTGCCGCATTTATAGCGAATCAGGCCTGGCTCCAACACCAAACGAATGGAAACTCCGTGGAGGTCAACCGTGACCAAGGCTTGGACACCGTAATCCCTTCTATGTCACTGGCCGGGATGATCACGACCAGCATTTTGTTGGCAGTGCACCTGGTTGCGTTGTCTCTGTTTGCAGCGTATGCGGCACGAAGGTCTGATTTGGTAGACACGAAACTGGATGCGTGGGCTATGATGAAGATTGGAGCTAGCCATGCTAGTCACGTATTCCTGAGCAAACACCAGAGAGCAGAGGATGTTACGTATTTGGATCGTTTGTCGGGTAGGCTTGGCCGCTCGAGGGTAGATGATGATCGGAATGAGACAACTAGGCTGCGAAACTAATGAAGGTTACGATGGATTATATGCTGCAGCAACGGGATGGACACTTCTGGCGGGCTACCTTAGGTGAACGTGCTACTGTACTGGTCCTTTCCTTATTATATCGAGGCCGCCTATTTTTACTATGGTAGAGCGACCACTTTTCCTGTGGCTATACTCTACCTCACCGTCGTCGTCGTGGCTTCTATAGTCGCCGTCGTTGTCGTCGTTATCATCTTCGTCGCTGCTCTCGTCGTCAATAAAGTAGGGGTACTTAAGGACACAGGAGATACAGCCGTGCAGACAGAGGAAAATTAGGTGGTCTCATTATATCAACATTGACCATTGTGTCATTCCGTGTACCTATCGTATCAAGTGTACTGTGAAATGCAATGAGCCTCAACAGCTCTTGGATGATATGACTTTTAATGAATAACCTTACCCAATGATGGGAGACAACGGGCGCTCGAGGTTAGGTAGCTGTTGATGGGTCTTGAGTAACACAGTGGTAGTCGGTGGCCAACGCAGTAAAGAGAAAGAGGACCTCCTATGAGTGAGGACTAAATCTGTTAGTGCAAACACGAATCATGATTTGGGCAATCTCAGGCCGCGAAGCCCCTCATCAACAATCTCCGTTCACCACCTGCCAATTGAGAATTCTTTGGGAAGTCCTATCCGTGAGATTCGCGTCTGCAGGTTCGGTTGACGGGCCGAGGCATCTCAACCCACAAGCCGCATGCTGGCACACGCGGGCATCGGGAAGGGGATCTTTTGTTCGCGCCGGGGTTCAGGGGCCAATCACTACCCACTTCTCTTATCGCGCGGTGATCACGTCAAAAGCCAACAATATTACCAGAAATAACGGCAAAAAGAAATCTCACATCACGGATCTAAAACGGCATTAGAAGTCCGTCGGCCGCCTCCAACATGCAGTACCGGCAGCTCAACAGCCGACATATCCGTGATAATCCTGACCTTAGCTCCAACAAAGGTGCACTCTGGAGATGAGAGTCGCTCGTATGCAGGCCAAGCGCCAGGGGCGGCCCCAGTCTGGGGGTGACCTTGCACATCGACCTGCCAAGTGAAGCTAGCGGCTCATGTGGTGTCGACAAAACAAGCTCATGCGATTGGGATGAACGCCCACTTAACGCACGATGGCAGGCGATGGTGACATCGGGAGCACTGGAGACGACCACGGCTCAGTCCTGAAGGAAAGTGGATGACGACTACAAGATGGAGAATAGCTGAGAGACATAAGAACGCGGGACTGTCGCGTCATCCAGCGAGCTAGAGGTCAGCTTCCTTCGGTAGCCCTGATCGATAGCCAAGTTATTCTGAGCCGTCTTCAAGATGCGAAGCTCCTTTGTTGCCGCGCCAGCTTTGCTGGGCAGTGTTGCTGCTCTCTCCAACTCGACGACCATCGCATCGGTGCCTTCGTCGACTGAGCCGTGTGCTGCTGTCAGCGCTGCTTGGGCTTCTCAGCATGCTGCTGCGCCCACAGTCACGCCGACTGTGCCTGCTCAGCTGGCTTACGACTGTCTGAACTCAGTTCCCCTAGGCAAGCAGGAGGCCATTGACTTGGTCGACTCAATCGTGCCTTACCTCGAATGGCAGAGCGGTGAGCTCCGATCCCGGGATGTGTGATCGGTTCAGGAGAGTGCTAACTGTTGTGGAGACGCTACGTACAAGGCCGATCCCCCTGCCGACTATGACTTCCCAGCCTACGACATGTTCGCTGCCTTGGAGAAGGTCCGAAGTAACCTCGAAGCCGACGTCTACACCAGCGAGTACGCTTTCCAATCTGCTCTGTACAATGAAGTCTTTGGACCTGGGCATGATGGTCACTTCGTGTACTATCCGGACCTCTTGACTGCTGTTTTCGAGTGGACCCGCGAGCGTGCGCTCGTCTCCATTAGCGAGGATGGCTCATCCCTGCCAGTAATTAAGATCTATGGTAAGATAAGCTCGAGCCTCCTGTTTTTTTCGTTAGTGCATTTCTAATTCAATTTCAGAGGAGGTTGTTTCGTCTCCAGAGACTGCTTCCGAGGTTAAGCTTATCAACGGAATTGATGCCGCTACATACCTCGATGAGACCATCAACAAGGCGAACTGGAACCGCGACGCTGACTCCGCATACAACTCTGTCTTTTTCGAGCAGTCTCTGTATGCCACAACCGGTGGAAAGGGATACTTCAGCTCAGGCGGTCGCATTCGGTAAGTTCAAGCTTCACGCGTAAGCTATCATCTCAACTAACACAAGCAGTTATGTCTACCAAGGCGCCAACACCACGATCACGTTCGCAAACGGCACGGAAGTCACCTTCGAGAACCATGCTACCGTTAAGAAGGCTTTGACTGGAGTTGTTGACGGTCCTTCTTTCTACGCAAAGTTCTGCAACCCGCTGAGCCCTGCTGTCGACGCTCCCTCAAGCACAACTCCATCCACCGGTTCTGGCTCTAGTGACCTCCTTCCGGGATACCCGTCCCCAATTGTCACCACCCCCGATGGAATCGTCTCTGGATACTACCTCGAGGGCGAAGGCCTCGATGACGTTGCTGTCATTGTCCTCACTGCTTTTGAGAGTGAGAGCCCCGCGGAGTTCCAGGCCGCCGCTCGCGACTTCTACACGGCCGCTCTCGCCGCCGGCAAGACCAAGCTCGTGATCGACTTCCAGCAAAACGGCGGTGGCTACATTCTCCAGGGCTACGACTTCTTCCGTCAGCTCTTCCCCCACACTGTCCAGGAGGGCAACTCCCGCTGGAAGGAGAATGATGGCTTCAACGCTGCGGCTGAAATCGTTTCTCGCATCTCCAACGAGCCCAATGCCACCAATAACGCCAACATTGACCTGGTCACCAGCTACTCTGAGTCCTGGTTCAACTGGCGCTACGACTACAACATCTTAAACGAAGGCTTCAGCTCGTTCGAGGACAAGTTCGACCCCCAGGTGTTCCAGAACACGTCGTACACCAACCTCATGCGCTGGAACCTGAACGACCCTCTGACGACGGTCAACGACACCTTCGGTCTAGGCATCGAAATTACTGGCTACGGCAACCTGACCAACGTTGCGCAGCCTTTCGAGGCTGACAACATCATCATCCTGTACGACGGTGTCTGCGCCTCAACTTGCACTATCGCCTCCGAGTTCCTTCGCATCCACGGTGGCGTCAAGTCAATCGCCATGGGCGGTCGCCCCAAGGAAGGCGGAATTGAGGGTGTCGGTGGCATCAAGGGCTCCCAGGTCCTCGACTGGAGCTCTATCTACGGCTTCTCCACCGACCTCCTCCCCTACGCCACCACCGACAAGCAGAAGGCTGCTTTCGCCACCTACAGTGATCTCCCTCTGAACCGCAGCTTGGCCGCTGCTGTCAACGTCCGTGACCAGATTCTGAGAGACAACGTTGAGGATGGCATCCCTGCGCAATTCGTGAAGGAGATCGCCGACTGCCGTCTGTACTGGACTTTGCCCATGGTCAACGACGTCACCGAGGTCTGGAAGGCGGCCGCTAACGCTGCCTTTAACGGCGCCAAGTGTGCCTACGGTGGCATTGAGAAGAGGGATGTCAGCGAGAAAGCGGCGGTTAGACGCAGAAACTACCTTGCGGCTGCTGCTCTGCACTCTCGTGGTACTGTATCTCGCCGCGCCTTGTCACCTACGAATGAGCGCTCGTGGCAGGACAAGTATGTGCAGAAGGCTATTGAGTAGAGTTTTTGCACTTAATCAAGTAAATAGTTCTATACTTCTGAAATGTTAATATTGCCTTATGACAATCAAACTTAAACCTTGAGTGCTCTCAAATCGCTTATAAAGGTCACACCTTGACGTTCGAATCCGTTAACAACGACATGTAAATGACCGACCCACTGGAGGCATCTCCGAAATGGCAAAGGCTTAGTTTGATAGATCTCGACAGAATCATGCAAAACCTCGACCACACCAGAAAAAGCTACGTATTGCCCAGTTTTAGCACCGTCGACAGAGCAATACCGACCTCGTATCAACATTCGCTCTTCGCTGATTCTCACCAGTCACGGAAAATGCCAGGCAAGTTCACCTACTTTTCGAAGCTTCCAGCTGAGATGCGATTAGAAATATGGAAATTCGCCATCCGACCCTCTCGTGCCGGTGTTCAGTTCTTTGGTATCTGTTACAATAAATACTACGCCAAACCCGTCGATTGTCAACCGGCATACGCGTTTTTCGAAGATGATACGTATGTCTTGCCGCCCCAAGTTTTCTATCAACCCCTTCGTGGCTGGAAGGCAATGAATCTGATTACGCACTCGATGCAGGGCTCTGGACTGCTTGTAAAGAATCAAGAGAAGTCGTCAAACGGCACTACAAGATGGAGATCTGCAAGCAGGAGAAACTTAAGCTACTTCAATCAAAAGGTTTAAGCTCTCCCGAATTTGAACATTTACGCGTGCCTAGACTCGGACACTGTCGACTCGAGAGCGAAGACATGTCGTTTCTGGTTTACCCACTTCAAGATCTTATCTGTTTTCACATTGCAGACAAACAACACATTGATTCAGGACTTTATGCCGATGACGTGCGCCATTATCGCCCCTACGGATTGCCTTTCTGGGCCGCAGTGGCGGGCCATAATGATGTTGTTCCGCAGATTGCATTTGAATACGACGCCTCATGGGAGTTTGACAACCGAGTAAGGAATGATGTATTCTTGCAGGAGGCAGGCGGCAGTCGAGCATGCTTTCTTCATGCGTTGAGGGATGCTGCACATCTATATCGGCCTATGAGACTATTTCTCATTGATCGTGGGATGGCTGACCAAGTGGACATTGAGAACTTGACTCATTGCGAGTTCGAAACCGATGAAAACAGGCACTACAGAGTGACCTCGAGCGATATTACTCATTCGCAGCAGGGTAGGAATGTCCTGGACTTTGTGGAGTCTGTCAAAAGCTTTTGGAGCTACGATGATTACGACGCGAGCAACTTCAACCCGGATGATACCGATATCGATGAAGATGATTATCAAGGCAACATGTTGTCCTACTTGTGTCATGATGTTCAGGTGCTCACAGCTGTTGCTAAGTAGGACAGGTAAACAGCGACATCTCAGTAATAGGCGACATCATATTACATGAAGCCGACTTCACAAAGAACATGGGAAACTCGTTGGAGACGGAAGAAAAAATTCTTAGCGAACAACTCATCAAGATTTTGGACGGAATAGAGAATACTGGTATATCCCACCACCCACACAGCAGAGTGCCCCTGAAAATCTAAGATTGGTAAACAGCCGAAGAAAACACTCAATTACATCCCATGCACACAACTTTGCCTTGGATTTGACAGTGGCCATCACATTTCCATCCATGTCAACGACTAGCTCCATAGGTCACTGTCAAGTTTCGATTCGTGGAAGAAGCAGTCAAGCGGCTCGTTCCTTCCTAATCCGGTACCGGCCTTGGCTGCTTGCCAAGATGTCACATCCCGCTCTCACTGCCGTGATATCTGAATGGCGCGCTTCTCTCCCCACGAAACGGAACCAGACTCTCCGTTGTGAGTAATTCTTCCGTGGGGCGCTTCGTGGGCAAGATGACCGCGTATGTTGCGCATAGCGCGCGTGGCAGCCATACGGAAAATAAGAGTACCGTGACAACAGAGATACAAAAAGACGATGTTTCGACGGCTATTTGCCATTTTTGTTTCAACCCCAGGCGATCAACTCCTTCTTTACCCTATTCCTTGACCCACGTTGCTGGTCTCTCAGGCATCGAAGTAGCGAGTCTTTGAGAAATCAGCCACTTCAGAGCTTCTTACCACAAAGATCGGCGAAGGACCCCACAACTCTATTCAAGATGTTGCCCATGTGGAAGCAGCTGATCAGCAGCTTCCTTGCTGTCGTTTCCATAGCCCCGGGTGCTAATGCAGCATACCCCAACCCGGGCGCGGTCTCTGGCAGCATCAATGTCCACGACCCAAGTGTCGTCAAGACTAGCAGCGGCACATATCTCATGGCCCACACCGGAACGAACATCGCGCTCAAGACTTCCACCGATCGCACTGTCTGGCGCGATGCCGGCGCTGCGTTCCCGAATGGCGCATCATGGACGACGGCTTACACGGGTGGCGACACCAACCTCTGGGCTCCAGACATCTCCTACCGCAACGGGCAGTACTACATGTACTACTCCGCCTCGACGTTCGGATCTCAGAAGTCCGCCATTTTCTTGGCGACCAGCAGCACGGGCGCGTCAGGATCTTGGACCAACCAAGGCCTAGTGATTGAATCATCAAGCTCCGTCGACTACAACGCCATCGACCCCAACCTCTACGTGGACCCGTCAGGAAACTGGTGGTTGTCCTTCGGCTCTTTCTGGACGGGCATCAAGATGATCTCCATCAACCCGAGCACCGGAAAGCGTTCTGGCACGAACCTCGTCTCTCTTGCCCGCCGCACGGTGGCAGACGGCGCTATCGAGGCCCCCTTCATCACTCGTCACGGAAACTACTACTACCTCTGGGTGTCCTTCGACAGATGCTGCAACAGTGCCGCCAGCACTTACCGCACCATGGTCGGTCGGTCCACCAGCGTGACGGGTCCTTATGTCGACAAGAGTGGTGTGCAAATGATGAACGGCGGTGGAACCGAAGTGATGGCTACTCATGGCTCGATTTATGGCCCTGGCCATCCTGCTGTCTTCACAGACACGGATGCTGATGTGTTCGTTTACCACTACTACAACAGTGCCAACGCGGCGCTCTTGGGAATTAACCTCATTCGTTATGATTCGGATTGGCCCGTTATTTACTGAGGGGATAGGATTGATCATTGGCAGGGGTTTGGGACATTGTGGCTGGGGTCTTGGGTTCATGTACATATTTACCATCTCAATGACATACTCTTTCATCATCATCCAAATATGGCATGAGTCCCAGTGAGTGTTAGATCAGCATTGGATCAGCCAGGAGACTAATCTAGGATGCGAAGATGTCTTCTCGCTCATACAATGGCTAATCTCTCAGATTGACAGCGCTCTTCGTAAGTCTTCATCTTTCTTTCGGGCGGTGGATGTTAACAGACGTGCCAATTGTGCATGCTGCACATCGCTAAAGTCAAGACACTACTGCTCCAGGTGATATCAAAGGTCCCCAACAGAATGTGAGTGATCAAATACGCTGATGCTTGAATTTGTACAGGAAACGAACTCTACAATACACATACACGAAAGGGGTATTTAGTCCAGTCTTCTCCACCACAGCTCTCCACGATTGCCACCATCTCTTTGCGACGCAATGAGGAGAATCTTGCCATCTTCAAACAATGTGTAGTTGCGTCTCGCCTCGGTGCCGACCATGGAAGGGATGTTGGCGACGGTCAACGGACCGTGGATGACTTGGCCGGTTGTCAGAGTGGCGGGGAAGGCGTCGCTGATACGCATAACGCCAGCGTATCCGATCGAGTGTCTGCCGACCTGGGCCCAGTCCGCGTCGGTTTGGCTGTCTTCGTAAGGGAATGTGAGGTTGGCCGGGCGGTCTTCGGGGTCGGTCGATGTAATGGTGGCTGTTACGTAGCCGGACTTGCTGTATGTGAGGATGCCAACGGGGTTGGAACCGTAGACGCGGTCCTCGACGGGAACGCCATTGCTAGTCCTGTGTGAGTCTAGTGTTAGCCAAACCGTCGGTATTCAGGCGGGAGCCAACGGCTAGCCGGGCTGACTGGGCTGACTTACGCAGAGGTGTTGAGAAGGGTGTAAGTTCCTGCCAGGACGGCAATGATTTCGGTGGCGTTGACCATTTTGAATTTGACAGGTATGTGATTAATGAAAGACTTTCGAATAGCAAACACTTCTCAATACTGAGTCGAAACTAGGTTTAAGCTCAGGACGCGGATGAACGAGGGACAGATAAAGGTATGACTAGCTACATAGCTCGGACCGAAGACCGGCCGTTCAGGAGTTTTTAAGTCTGGTCTATTTCCAAAGCTCCCTCCAACAAGGTCCCATCTTCCGCAAATCCAACCGCGCGGGTGTGCCCTGATGCCTGACTGGGTAAACTGCACAGCCCTACGTGATAGGTCGGGACATCTGAAGGTTGTCAATCCGGAAGGTGGCTCAAGGACCACCCAAGAAAGTCTAATATGAAGAATCACGCACGCAAGAGCGAACGGCATGGGTTCCAGGGTGGGCTCGCTTATGCCAAGCAATTAAACTCGCGGCAGCGCCCTGGGACCACCCTCGTCAGGGACGCTGAAAAGGCTCAAAGAGGGCTGCCCCTCCGTCGCCTGTCATCGCGACAACCCGTTAATCTGGTAAGGGCCACTGACTCGGTTGCACTCGTTTAACGGCTTTTCACCGAGATGAGTGGCGAGAATCCATGGTCTGAGCGTCCATTGCTGTTCCGGTTTGTTCTCGGGAGGAAGACTTGGAAAAAATGCGCATCGAAACAACTTTGTTTCGTCCAAAGGTTGCGTTTTCTTGGCTTTAAAAGGCTGTGTAAGTCTTAAAACATGGAGAAAAAGGGGAGAACTGGATGTTTTTGTCTTGGCAGTCCTCTTGGCGTACGGGCGAGTCCATTGCGAAGTTCTTGGCAAAATGGAATGGTTACGGGTGAATGTGGGGGATTCGTGCGGGGTACATAACGGTCTTGTCACTCTGAAGAATTGTGGATTCGAGTCTCGGTGATATTTTTTGAGGCCGGCGCGGCCGTTCAGGGTCACGATGGCAGCCGAACATGGGTATATGCCCGAAGCGACGCCTCGGAGGAACGGATGAACCGGAGCCTGCCAAGTCTATATACTGGAGTCTAGACCCCTAGCCACCTGCCATGTTGAACCCTTATTTATCCATGAAGGATGGGAAGATAGAGTGGTATTTCGAGACTCTAAGTCTTGGCTTGCTGACAGCATTGATCACAGCAGCAATGCCCACGATACTAGTTGCACTTGCCATCCGGGGCTAGGCTTCAACCCGACGATTCGGAGGAGCTCGGCTTCTGCAGCTAGCATCCTGTAAGGCTGAGTAGGTGATCCATAGTCCGGACAATATCCGAGATATCGCGCAAAAAGGCCACGCGGCTGACTTCTGAGTTGAGGTTTTCTGCTGCTGCTTGCGGAGCAAGTATCCGCTAGTCCCATGACCGACTAGAGAAAACTTTCTCGTCTTGGTCTTTGAACGTTTAGTCAACAATGCGGAAAGATCACAAACACGCCAGCCATGACCCTCCGAGATCTCCGCTGGGAATAACCAATACTCATTCCCGGTTCAATGTCAATCATCAACCTTCGCACTAAAGAATTCTCGTTACTCGGCTTTAACATCTTCGATTTATTGTTATCTACTGGGCTGCTCTAGCAAGCCAATCCCGGATACCCGCCGATGCCGGACGTGACAGCCCCTTGAACTTCTCATCAGCATAAGTCTCGTCTATCGCGGTGGCAAGACGTTGAGCCTTCAGAACCGTCAGACGCTTGTTGTTAGACGGGTGCGTCTTGCTAATGAAGTCATTCGTCTCGGCCACCAGCTCGTTCCTCTTCTTCCTCACAGCAGGTTCATCAGTCTTCTCGGCCGCGCAAAGGGCGCAGCCACACTCGAAGCCCCAGGTAGTCATCAACGCCGCTTGCCTAGCTTCGTAGTCGCCGGACTCGTCGTAGCTGTGGAAGATTTCCTCGCCCTTCTTGATCTTTCGGAGGGACCGGATCACCATGAGGTCGCCGACGAACTCTCGCTTGGCGTTGGGGACGCAAGAGTGGTTGATGTAAGCGGCTCGGACCCAGAGGCCGGTGCTCGGCTTCGAGACCCCCCCGAGATGCGAATCATCCGCGCCGAAGGCGTTGCGGCAGACAATGTCGTGTATCCTGAAGACGTCGACGACCGGGCCTTCTTCGGTCTCGGTCTTTGCCTTGGCGTCCCCGGTGTAGTCGCCGTAAAGATCCATGACCTTTGCGATGCGAGAAGGGTTGTTCAGAAGGTTCTGGGCGATGACCTTGGTGAGACCAATAGGTGATACCCTGATCTTCTTATCCCGCACGTCGTAGGTCATTCCTGTCAGAGCGTCGCTCTCGTGGCCCCATACAACGGAGGACGCCTTCTCAACCATGATGACTGCGCCATTTCCAATGTCGCGGGATGCGAAGAGACCGCGTCCGCGGCCCTTGCTATCCTTAACTACCGTCTTGCCGTTGAATGTTGCCGCGTCAGCCCGCGGAGCAGCGCGGGAGAGATTAGCCTTGATCTTCGCAAAGTCGTGACCGCCCTCCGTTTGCTCCTTGAGACGGAGAGCCAGTCTCTTGAGGTTCGCCTTTGCGCCCTTATCTTCGGGAGCAAGCCCAAGCTGCTTCTCGAAGAAGCCCTTTGCTTGTTCATACTCTCCCAGGTTGTACGCTCCAGTACCGGCACGGAAGTAAGCCTTGCTGTCGAGCTCCTTAGACCGTTCGTCGTCCTTGCCAATAAGAGAAGCCTTGGCGTCCGCGATGGCTTCATCGTTTCGCTTGAGCAAAAGGTTCACATGCGCGCGGTTGCGGGCAATATCTCTGGCCAGGTCTGCGGTCTTCTCCGCATCCTTCTTGGCAAACTCCAGGCCCTGGGTATATCTTGCACGAGCCAGGCCAAGCTTCTTCTTCCCGAGAGCCTCATTGCCCAAGTCCTTGCACTTCTTAGCCATGTCTTCGGCTGATTTCTTGTCCGCTCCTGGTGCTTCATCCACGATGGGGACGAGATCCGAAGGATGGTCAATCCGGATAGTAGCCTCACCCTCCTCGGTGAGAGTAAAGAATGGCTCCTTGATCTCGAAAGTCTTTGAGGACTCAAGGATCTCCTCGCCATGCATCGTCTTGTGAAGACAGATTTCTAACCTCTCTGTCTCCTTGGCCTCTTCGTCTTGCACCATAGTCCATGATCGGGCGGCGTGCGTGACCACTGGAGCTGCACGCTTGACGATGAGTCGGCGGCCTGTGTGATGAGTTTCCATTTTGAGATCGGCAAGAGTCATTGGCTCCAAGTCTCGCAATGAGACTGCACATGGCGGGTATGTCTGTCCGACGCCAAGGGCAGGGAGCGTGTCTTGTCCACCGGATCCCGCCATATTGCCCATGTCCTGCATGAGGGAGGCACCGGTAGCCTGGCTGATGGCGCCATGAGCATCCCTCGGCTCCCGGGGTTGACCGGCTTGCTTGGATCGGTTATCTAGGTTGTTCTGGACGGTGGTCCGGATCCGCTCCGCCTCCTGCTCAGTCAGGTGGACTGTGTTCGGGTTGTTCCCGGATGCCATGGTGAGAGAGGGCAACTCGAGCACAATGTGAGAAGAAGATGATGACAGGGATCTTTAATTCGCTCAACATATATTGCCTGAAGACGAGGCTGCGTTGAGAATCGAATCGCCGCGAAAAAGGTTTGAGGGGATTATGTATGTCGGTTCCGCAGTATCTCAAAATTCCAGTGTGCGAAATCTTTGCTGAGGTACGCGGTACTTGCTCGAATGTGCCCACAAGATGTCGTCATTAGTATGTGTACACGGTGCAATCTGCGCAGCGCACGTAGGATGCCCACTTTGAAGTTTGGTCAGATACGTCTAGTTCTCCGACAAGAACTCTGGTTCCTGTCTCCGGCTAATTAAGTTCTTCTCATTGGTCATTTTACAATTTCCAAAGAATAAGAATGTTAGCTTGGAAATCAAGCTTGACGATCAGTCATTTAGCATGAGAGATTTTGTATTTACAATTTAACCCTTACAAAGACAAGGAATAGTGTTTGGCTCGAGTACACTTTGCACTGTATACAACGAAGACCCATGCGAACTCTAATACCCTACTTGCATTGGTCAGAATGACAGCCCCTGATTCGTCCGGCCTCTTGGAGGTACTTCGCGATGTACATTTATCGCAGCCGACGAATCAGGCACTGTCATTTGCTGCGATAGTTGTTAGTCCTTCAAGAGAAGCACGCAATACACATAGCGACCTGACGGCAACTATCTGTGAACTCTTTGCTATATCTAAGCGTCCGCTGATTTTCAAATTAAGAGCGATAACGTTGCTGTTCAACCAGCATGGGGCCCTGTGCGGATCCCCGTTCCGAACCTCGTCAGCGTGCTGAATCCAGGCCTGGGATTGGTCGCCTGATTTTGTACGAGTGCGACGACGCCATTTTCAGCTGTGTCATGTGTTGGTAATATCTATGGCACATGGTTTCCCGCGAGGCTGTGATGGTGTGACCATATCAGTTCCTTCTTCATCTCAGGTCTTTCCTGGCTGAAGTCTGTCGCATCGTCGCATTGTCGCAGCGCAGCTCAGCACCCTAACACTTGTGCGTGATGCCCTTGATAAGCCTATCTCGCATTCAATTCAAAAATGGCTACGTCTGAAGAGCAGCCTGGCCAGGCTGTCCACGAAAAGCCGTACCAGCTACAAGAAATCATTCGAGCACGGCCAACAGGATTCGATTGCAACTCACCTCGCACCCCTTACTTGAAGTTCACCTTGGGTCCGGGGCAACTAACCCGACTCATTGTGCGGATATGGTCACACGACCAAGGTGCGTGTTTTGCTACCTCGAAACTGCACACCCACACGCATTCGCTGACATCGACCAGGTCGAGCTGATACTACTTCGTCATTGAACCCATACGCGGACTCCAACACATGGTTCGCGCTTGGAGTCATACACGACGATGAGGAGCCCGACCTCTATGAGTTTCAAAGAAACGTGCGAGCATCATTCGACATTCGATGTCACACTCACGAATGGAACCTTGGGGTTCCACTAGAGGATGACGAAGAGATGAATGACGTTCAGGCCTGGA